AGAGAGAGAGAGAGAGAGAGAGAGAGAGAGAGAGAGAAGAGGATGAATGGATAACAATGGGTAAAGTTTGATTTCAGCTTATGGACTGTTATGGACGTTTGAGGAACTATTTTTTTGTGATATGAAGGTGGGGGTGAGGGGGAAGAGAGCTTTGTTTATTTGTATGACGGATGCTGTCTCCGGGAAGGGGGCAATGTAGAACTGTGGTTTTTCTTGTGTTTGCTCATTGCTCTTGAATCAGAACCGTCCATTTGATTTCAGATCATTGGCTGGATGTGAGGGTGTTGTGGGGTGGTGGGTTCAGTGGTTTATCAGGGCCGGTCTGGACCGATCGCTTTCAAGTTAGTCAGGAGTACTTCCTCGCATCGTCAGATGGGGAAGCTATCAATGCCCACCCAAATGAAAAACATTACAACCTCTCTGCCCTCTTATCTGAAAGTGGCCGACACAGAGAGTAATGTAGGTGGTCCCTTCAAAGTGACACTTTAATGGCTTGTTTTGCCTAACGTGTGGTTTGGGCTAACGAAGTATTGGTAGGGATAAAGTGTGGATTGACTAACAAAGCAGAGAGAGGGAGAGATAAAACGATGTTTATTATCGTTTAGTTTCAAAGTGCCTTTCACATTCGGGAGTTTTTGGAGGGGCTGAAAAAACTGGAAGTATTTCCTGTTTGGTTTCTTTGAATAAAGAAAAGGTTCTTTGTTTGTTTTCCTTCAAGAGAGAGAAAGAGGGGCTGAGGAAACTAGAAAATTTCTTGGTTATTTTCCTTTATTTATTGAGTGGGTCATTGGATCGTATGTGGGGTCTCTCTTGGTAGAGAGTACCTGAGAAAACTAAGACCTTGTATTTATTTAACTCTAATTTATTCCGTGGATCGCTTTGAATTCCCTCCATCATTCAAAGCTTGAATGAAATTGGAAATATTATTAGATTATACATTTGGAATCAAGACATTGGACACAGACAAAGCGGATAAGGAAATTTTGTGTTCGGCTAAACGATTAGTTGCATCATGGGCCTCTCGGTCGACATGGGAGAAGAAGGAAATCTGAACCTCAGGGTTAGAACAAATATCATAAATTTTTAGCTAGAAGACATGAAGGAAATTCCATATATATATATATATATGGAAAAGTCTTCTTAACGTTTATAGGTGAAAATGAACAGTTCATCGCGTATTCACGATTGTCCAGTAGTGTTTTATTTTTTATTTTTTATTTTTATAAATCAGAATGATTTGAAATTTGAAGGGTATGTACATCTTAATGAAGCGCATTTAATAAAAATATATAAAAAAATTATCCGTAAAAACAAAATTGTCCAAAATAGCCCCTAATAATTTCGAGGGTATTTTGATCAATTTTTTTCATGTAAAATATTTTTTTATATTTTTTGAAGATTCCCTTATTTTTTATGAATACACATACATAAAAAATATATATATAGGAAATGTTAGCACAGGCTTACTAGCTCACAGTTATATTTAAGCCCCATGGTTTAGATTCAATTTGAGTCAATCTGATGGATACGATATCTTTTCATATTTTAATTTTATTTTATTTTTACAAATTCAAATCATATGAAATTTTAGATGTTTATTCTTCTCATCAATGTGTACTTAATAAAAATATTAAAAAAAGCAATTCGTAAAATATAAATTGACCAAAATACCCCTAATTTTTTGGGGGTATTTTAATCAATTTTTTTTTATAAATTATTTTTTTAATATTTTATTAGATTATCTTATTTTTAAAGAACATACGTTCAAAATTTCAAGTGATTTGGATTGATGGAAAAAAATTAAAATTCAAATACAAATTTCAATCATCATCGTCGGATCCGCCCAGATTCAAGCTGGACCGTTGGGCTCATATGTAGCTATAAGCTAATGGATCGACATTTCCCTATAGTCACCC